AAATAAAATAAAATAAAATAAAATAAAATAAAATAAAATGCATACAGTTATATCTTACATGTTATCCAATGTTCAGTTTATTTCAATAAAATGAATTTAAATATAATAAGTTGAAGAGATAAGTGATTTATTTTAAAAAAAACTAAATGTTCCATCTTAAAATTTAAAAATTGGCTTGTCATTTTTAAGTCCCTTAAGGGAAAGGCCTCTTTGTATATGTAAATATTTTTGTTCTCAAATGCATAGCATGGTGACAGGAAGATAACAAGTGCTCAGTAAATATTTGTGGAATGAAAAACTCTTCCCTACACACATTCATTTATATGTGCCATTTCAATCCCATTGAACTCCTGTAAAAGAAAAATAATTATGTCATCAGCAAGAATCTGTGTCTAGCAAACTCCTGTATGTATGTCTGAAAAAAAGAATTCTTTAAAGATAGTTTAACTGGGTATAGAATTCTAAGTTTATATATTTTTTTCCTGTCTGCATGTAGAAGGTATTGTCTTCTGGTGGTGGTGGTGTTCATGAGAAGTCTGTCTTCAGGTTGATTGTCATTTCTTTGTGGGATATCTTGTTTTTTCTTTCTGGCAGTTTTTAAGATATTCTCTGTGATATAACAAAGTACAGATTTATTTTTATTTTTCCCACGAGAGATTTGCTTTCCCTTTTTAGTTTGAGGATTCATGCCTTCTTCAGTTACCTGCCATTATGTCTTTATATTATCTCTTCTGTTTTCTCTGTTCTTACCTTCTAATATTTTACAAACTTTGGTATGTCTTCTGCCATGTCTTCTTTCTCTACCACTTTATCAACTATCATTGTAAGACTGTTTAGTCTGCTGCTTAACCCATGTTTTGAGTTTGTTCCTATCTCTATTTTTTATTTCAAAACCACATTTCCTTTTTAGAGTTTGTGTTTGGCTCTTTCAGATCTGTCTATATAATACCAGCCCTAGTATATTCTATTCTTTCCTTTATCTTTCTGGACTTGCTAATGATTTAAAGTCTCTTGCAGATTGCTTTGTTATCTATAATTCCTCAGATACATATTCTCACACTTGTTGCTTCTGCCCATTTTCATGGTGGTGGGTTTTATATATTCTTCATAATTTTTGCCCAAACCCACCCCCCACCCCCTCCCCCGCCCCCGCCACCACCACCCATCAGAATCAAAAGCATTCTCTGGATTATAGAAATCTTCCCATGGTATGTTTTTATATTCACTCCTCATTGAGATCTATGGTTTTCACTGATTCTGGACCAGTTTTTTATGTTGGTTTTTAGCTTAGATTTTCCATTCCACCCAGGTGCTACAAAATCAGATACCACAAATGGCACAGGCTGGGCATTCCAGTGATTCTTCCTATCTAGAATAGGAAGGTAGCCTGCTTCTCTTCTGTGTTCCCAGTTTGGACTTTCCTAGCTTTAATTTGCAAACTGGATAGCCTCTTAATTCCTACTGTGTTTTTGGTTTGTTTGTTTTTTAATGCAGGGAGTTCAGTCATTTCCATCTCCCCTCTATACATGGGGTCTAGTAAACTATAACTTAAGGCCCTAACTCTGGACTGCTGAGCATCAGCTCCTATTCACCACTTCTTTGTTTTTGGCACCTAGAGATTTACCTTTCTCACTTCTGAGCTCAAATGTAATTTTGTTGTTGTTACCAAATTGTATCTAGTCTTCTCATTTTGGAGTGGGGTAGGGCTTTCCATGTATTCACTGTACCATCTTCTCAGGGAAATTGGAACCAATAATTAAAATTATTTTTTTCTTGACTCAGTGTTTTTAACAATTTATGTTAGACAAGCAACAAGTATAGTCTGTAAAATAAATATAATTCTATATATAGTGTCAACCAACTGTAGTTAGCATCTTAAAATCACTAAATATTCTGGCAATCTAGTAGAGATTAAAAGGTAGGATTTATGAAAATGGTTTCTTATTTAATTATCACATAAAGATTGTTATTATTTTAAAGTTTGGCTACTTATGTAAAATTAAATAAAAATCTGATTAATAATATTGAGGGAAATTACTGATTTAAGAATTTTAAATATCTCGTTTTTATGCCATTATTTTTATAATCATTAATTTTTATTCTCATTTAGGATTGTGGATATCAGCATGTATATAATATCCCAACAAACTTGACAATGAAGGCATCATATTATTGCTATTACTTTTATTATATCTTTAAGAAAGATATATTCTGGGGGCGCCTGGGTGGCGCAGTCGGTTAAGCGTCCGACTTCAGCCAGGTCACGATCTTGCGGTCCGTGAGTTCGAGCCCCGCGTCGGGCTCTGGGCTGATGGCTCAGAGCCTGGAGCCTGTTTCCGATTCTGTGTCTCCCTCTCTCTCTGCCCCTCCCCCGTTCATGCTCTGTCTCTCTCTGTCCCAAAAAAATAAATAAACGTTGAAAAAAAAAAAAAAAAAAAGAAAGATATATTCTGTAACATATATTTTAAATGATGGACACCATGGAAACATCATAGTATTGGCATTACTTTTATATATTTCATAAATATATAAAATATAAATATATATATTTATATAAATATATTTATATAAATATATATTTATAAAATATATTTATGAAATATATAAAATATATAAATATATATTTATATGAAATATTTATTTTATAAATATAAATGTTTATATTTCTATAAAATATATAAAATATAAATATATATTTATGAAATATATAAAAGTAATATATAAAAGTAACTTATGCCTGTATCTTCTTTTTAAAAATCTAAGTTAACTAACATCTCTCATATTGTTATCAACTAGAGAATATGATATACTTGATTATAAAGAGGTTTTGGAAAAAATAAGGCCATCTCCTCATTTGACCAAAAATGACTATTTTTTCAGACTTAGGTTTTGCATTCCTTCTCTTTCCAGACACATAAAGAAAAAATGAAGACAGATATATTGACACTTTCAAAGAAAGACCAACAACTAAGTGAAGGAAACATTTCATTTCCCCTTTACATTTCACACCCTGTAAGCCAAAAGAAGAAAAAAGTCTACCGCACAGACCAGACCACCTTTATAATTGGAGAAACGCCAAAAGGGATCCGCAGGTATGTGTATAGCAACACTGGACTTTAAAAATTATTCTCAAAAGAAATATAGCTACTTAATAAAATACACAAATAATTTGAATCTTAACCATACTTGGCAGCTGAATTTGTATACTTCAAAAAATAAATTCAAAATGTTTTAGATGTTTTTAGAAAGCTAATCTCTCAATTGATAAAAAAATGAAATCATTTTATATGGATAAATGAAACACTTAATTGCATTTTATTTACTCTTTGAATATTGAGCACCTAATATGCACTCAGGCATTGTGCTAGGTTTTACACAGACAGGATAAAAAAGGACAGAGTTTATAGTGCAGTGAGAGTTAAACCATAAAACTTTCAAAAGTTAAAAAAAAAATTATAAATAATTATAAAATGGTGTATTATAGGAAGGAAGTGGACAGGCCTGGTTGGTAGAGAATAAGGTGACCTGGAGGGGGGCCAATGGCTTTCTATTGGGTAGAGAGTAAGACCTCGCAACAGAGTTGGCATCTGAGACCTGAGGGATAACCAGGCAAAGAACTAGGTTAAGGACATCCCTGGGGAGCAAAGAGGTTTGATGTGCTCAAGGAACTGAGAGAAGACTAGTATACTTAGTGCATAATAAACCAAGCAGAAAGACATGAGCTGAAGGCCAAGACATAGATGGGGCTGGAGCATGCAAAGCCCTGTAGGTTGTGGATAAGAGTTTGGATTTTGTCCCAGGTGTGTCAAAGCTATTGAGGCATGAACATGATCTGATGTATGTTTCTCAAAGATTGTTCTAGTTTCTTTGTGGAAGAGAGCAGACTAGGGAAGACCATAAGGAACTAGCCAATGGTGGTTTACGGTAGAGTGGTTCCCATGGAGATAGAGTTTGGTGGATGAATTCAGTTTGGTATGGACTGGTTGTTGGGAAATAGAGAAAACAAGACTACTCTTAACTTTTCCATGGAGCAACAGACTGGATTTACTAAAATGGGGAAAACTAGGAGTTTGGACTGAAAAAAATCAAGAGTTCTCTTTTGCTTGTATTAAATTTGAGGTTCTATGGAAATAGAATTTGGGGACTAAAGATCTAAATGTGGAAGTCATCAGCATTGAGATTTTAGATGGTTTTAGAGCCACAGGTTATGTGAACAGCCTAGGAACCCAGCACAGACAGAAGAGAAGATAGGACTGAGCCTTAAGGGGACAGTGGCCTGCTGGGTAGGAGGCACACTATAAGGTCCTGAAGTCCAAGAGGAATGAAAATTTCAAAATGGAGGAAGCACTTCATTTTATTAAATGCTGCTGAGAACCAGAATCAGATGAAGTGGAAAGTGCCTTCCAGAACTGGCAGGAGAACTCACTGGCTGCCTTGATGTGAGCAGTCTACAAATCCCTAGGCAGACTCAGGGTGAGGTGGGAAGCAGGGGATGGGCAGATCTTGAGACTGCTCTGTGAGTGTGAAAAGCTGCAGTAGTTGGAGGGCATTGTGCAGTCAAAGGTAAATTTTTTTAAGTTGGGAAGACAATAGAACCTATTTGTGTGTTGAGGGAAAAAAACCAATATGGAAAAAAAGAGATCATGCTGGAGAAGTGGTAACAGAAGTCCTGCAGAGCAGGAGAGGGTGGGATCCAGACTACTGAAGAAGGTCTAGCCTTTGAGAGGCATCAGAAGAGGAGGGATGGAAGATGGGCATAGATGCGATATTTTCTCAATTAACTGAGAATTAAAGTATCAAATCAGAGGGAGAGAAATTTCAGGAGAGAAAAGTCATGAAATAAATCATTTATCAATTAGAACAGCAAGCTTGGTGAGACTAGAATTCATGGGTCATGTTAAGTCCCTGTTGGAGAGTAATTCCAGTAAAAGCATCCATGCAGTTGTGCAGACTTTGTTCAGCCAGGCTTCAATTGCTCAGTTGCAGACACAGAATAGGGAGATGGCTGGGTTTTATCAGGGGTTAGAATGGAGGGAGAGAGAAGCGAAGAAGCTGAAAGATGTTTGCAAAGGAGTAATTATAAAGTCGAACCTAAGCTAAACAAGGGGAGGCTTGATGAGGTCAGAAGTATCTTCCAGCATTGTTGTCATGGGGGAATTAAACAGTTGAGCTGGATTATGAGGTGACTAAATTCAGGGATTTGCAGGTTGTGCAATTAATGGTAATGATGGCAGTATATGTCCTTAGGAATAGGGACCTGATATTCTGTTGAGTCTTGGGGAGTGGGGGATGGTGGTAAAGAAATTGGTGGGCTAGGAGTTGGAGTTACATGGGCCACCCACATGGATGTTGGTGTTGTCAAGAGTGATGGCAGGAGATGGGAAAGGAAACAGGATTGATCATGAGTTCAGTCACTAGGAGGAAGCGACTAAGAGGTCAGTTGACAAATTGAGGGAAAGAATGGATTAGCAGGATAGCATGAACCTGCAAAAGGGAAAGGAATCTTTAAGAATAAAAAATGGTCTGGAAGCAGCATGTGAAGCATGAACCCTGAGGTTTAAGATGTGAGGTATAAGAGCCTTATCTTGTGAGGGCTGTATGGGAAGAGGTGGCATCATGAGGGGATAGAGGGACCATCTGGGGAGAAGAACAAGGGAGTTGGTAGAGCATAGCCTCATTCCAGGGGCTGAGGAATGGTCTGGAAGGCTGAGGGATTCCATTAGATTGGGGAGGAAGAGACTAGGACCAGGAAAAGGCCTGGAAAACTCCTCTGTCACCTGTAACAGAGGAGTAGTGACTGAGCTAAGCAGGGATGAAAGGCATGGTTGAATTGACCCTGAAGGCCTCTGCAGACAATGGGCAAATGGTGATGGTTCTCCCTGTTCCAAATTCTTTCCTCACGGGTTTGGTAGCTCCTCAGCCCTTGGGTGCTGGTGTGGTAGGCTAGAGTGTGGCTCTCAGCTACCCACCATTGCCCAGAAAGGCAAACACCCTACATGCTACAGTAGCATCTCTCCTCATAAATAGACTTACAATGATGATTCTGGGCAAATTTGGGGTAATTTGCTTTGGGCAATTATTTTGTTCAGAGGCAGACCATAATGGATTTTACCAGTTTTTAAAGAGCACAAGTGTCTTTATCTCCATTAGCACTGTATATAAAAATAAAACTATTAACAAATGATTAGATTTTTCTTCTCTCACTTTCTTCTCTGCCCATCCCAGGGAATAAATGCCTTAGGCTAAGTGAAAGACTAATGTTAGAATGCCAACCTCTGACCTAGGGATCGATGTCAGAACTGCTGACACATCTTTCCCACTAATCATCCTCTTTTATGAGAATAACGAATCCGTACCAGCTGTGGCCATCAGGACATCGGAATGAAGTTTCAGTTCTCCCTTCACTTAAGAAAGCTCAGGCAAAGAGAAGATGACTTAGCTGTGTCCCACCATTTTCCCTCAGTTCTCATGAAAAGGGGAGAGAACTTGAATTATATACATGACACACAACTACTCTGGATATATTTGCTAAAATATACCTGTCTTTGATTTCCTTTTTTTTTTTCTTTCTTCTAGTGACTTATGAGTGTCTACTTTAGTTTATTAAATTTTCCTTACAAAGTGGCTAGTTTATACCTCCTGAGTGTACCTTCCTTAAATACTTAGAGAAAATTCTTTTAAAGACCAAGAATTATGAAAGCAAGTTAGAAGGCAAAAATAAAATGAATTATAATCAATCATATTCATCCTGTAAAGGACAACCTCCCAGCCTAATTTACTTGCATACTACTGGTATAACATGGGGTCAGAAGCTCTCCTCCCAAAAGGGACAGAATTGTAAGATTCTGAGTGAGGTCAGCACAGCAAAGGTGAAGTATTCTGGCAGCTTCTGAGACACCACCAAGTCTTGGATAAATAAGACATCAGCCTGTAACTTTGCCAATAACTTAATCTTCGCAGCACAAATATTTATTAGAAAGGCCATGAAAATGGATTTGGAGATGATTAATAAACAAAATAATATCTCATTACTTCATATGAAGTAAAAACTGGAACCTTTTAAGAACGTGCTTGTTGCTTTCCAACAAGAACATTGGCAATTTCCAGGACAGAAATTTGGAAGCTTGTATTTGTGTTATTAAATATTCTCTTGGCAGCAAGAGTGGCTGTTGCTCAGGCATAGATAATATCTGGACTTGGAACAGTGAAGAGGACCAGTGCAGTGAAGAGGACTAGAAGGCAGGGTGCTCATCTGAAGCCACAAAAGTCATGAGCATGCACGATGGATGCCACTAAAATCACAGGAAACACAAACTTGACATAACCTGGCCTGAGCAGCAAAATAATAGTGGCTTTAAAGCTCCAAATTACATACATTACAAATAAATCATTATTTTACCCTCAGGATTCTCTGTTGTGTGTGCAGGATAAAATTCAAACTTTTGAAATTGACATACGGACCCTTCATGATAGTCAGCCTCTTCCTTGGCAATTTCTCCTGCCCCTCTGTGTACCAGGTTCTCTCTGAAGTGGGCCTGTGCATGTTCCCTGTTCCCTGGACGGTTTCCTCACTTACCCTTGCCTGACTGGTGACACCAGAGAAGCCTTCCCTGCTACCTTACCCATGATCCATTACTGGCTCAGGTACCCCTTCTGTGGGAACCCACAGGGCCCTGTATTTACATCTGTAGTGGGATTTATCACTCTCTTCTGGTTTGGTTTTCATGTGTCTGTCTCCTCCAGCTTGACTATAAACTCCTTGAAGAATATGGTGATCGGCTGTTCACTGCTGTATAGCTCTATGGTGCCTAGCACATAGAGGGTCTATAAATGTTTGTTGAATGTATAAATGAATGTTTTAAGGAACTATATCAAATATAAACATAATTCTAAAACTTTGGGACTTTTAATCATGTGTTACAACACCATCTGGCTTTTTTTAAAAGAATGTTTACAAACACTGAGCTCTCCTGATTCATGGCCCAACTCAGCATCAGCAAAGCAATACCCTCTGTCTTTGTCTGCTCCATCTGCCATAGCAAAATACTATAGACTGGGGCTTAAACAATAGAAAGTTATTTCTCACAGTTCTAGAGCCTGGGAAGTTGAAGATCAGGGTGCCAGCTGATTTGGCTCCTGGTGAGGGCTCTCCTGACTTGCAGATGGTGACCTCATCGTGTCCTCTCTTGGCCGAGAAAGATATTTCTGATGGCTTCTTATGACCTCATTTAACCTTAATTACCTTCTAAAGGCCCTATCTCCATATACTCTGACTGCGGTTTAGGGCTTTGAAGCCCATAATGAATTTGAGGGTGTTGCAGTTCAGTCCATAGCACCCTCACCTGGGGAAAGGAGCACAGTCTGGTGTCCAGGGTTGTGAAACAATCTTTCTGCCTCTGTCTTACCAGGGTTCTGGAAGGTCCATTTTCTCACACATGCATACAACAGCTTTTGTTAGTATCTTATACTAAGAGTAAAACTCACTCCTTTAAATGACATCTCATTTCTTAGTTTAGCTGTCTATACTCAAGGCAGGCCAGTTGGGGGAAGAAAGAATCTAGGTTTATCAGTTTAGAATTTTCCTTTAGGACCATCAAAAAGTTGTATGAAATTTCTTTGTTGTATTTGTGGAAGAAGGGAAAAAAGGAGAGAAGAAAAAATCCCTTTATTTTTCAGAATTTTCTCTTTTCATTAAGACCTTTTTTTGACAATTTTATTTCATAGGACTTGAATGCAATATAGATTTTCAGACAGATTATATAAATTATGATTCTCATGTCAGCCGTAAGTTGGCTGACTGGAGGAGCAGCATGCTGGGATCCCATCATCCCCAGGAAATGCCTAATAGTATAAATCAAAATAACTTCAAAAGCTGGTGATTTCATGAACTAGAATTTTTTTTCACTAGCATAAGGAAAGAGGTCACATTCTGCTAGTGTAAAATGCATTTTCATTATGGAATTAAGTTAATATATACTAAATCAATAAGATTACAGTTGACCCTTGGACAACACAGGTTTGAACTATGTGGGTCCACTTACTGGCAGATTTTTTTCCAGTAAATACAGTACTGCAAATATATTTTTTCTTCCTTGTGATTTTCTCAACAACATTTTCTTTTCTCTAGCTTACTTTATTGTAAGGATACAGTATATATAATATATGTAACATGCAAAATATGTATTAATTGACTCTCTACATTATCAATAAGGCTTCTGGTCAACAGTAGGCTAATTTGGGGGAAAGTCAAAAGTTATATTCAGATTTTTGACTACACAGGGAAACCTAACACCTGTGTTGTTCAGGGATCAACTGAACATTGCTTTGTGTCTTTTTTTAATATCACTGATGGTGAGTTCTTTAAAAATAAAATAATAAAAATAACTACTGGTTTTGTTCATTAAATCTTCAGAAAACAATTTGAAGAAATGGCTTCTTATTTTAACTTGCCTTCTGTAAAGGAATTTGCTAAAAATATAACTAATGCTACATCAGAAGAACGACAGAAAATGCTAAAAGACTTTTATGCTTCTCAGTATCCGGAGGTAAAAGAATTTTTTGTGGATTTTGCTTCAGAATGCATTAAAACTTCCTGTCAGAAAAGAGAGAGAGTCAGGAATAAATCTGAAAAAACAGAATCTCTTATAAAAGAAGGGCTGTCAGATTCTGCAACTTTGGCACTTAAAGATTCTCCCAAAAGAGTTTCTCAAATTTGCAGCCCAAAAATATATAAAGAAAAATCCATTGAGTTTCAAAATCACGGTTCCCATAGGGAACAGGTACTTTCTAATGACGGAGAGACTACCAAATCACGTATGAGCTCTACCCAAGAGACTGACAATGGAAAAAACAGCCAAGCATCCAAAGATACTGTAGTATCCTGTTCCCTGAACAGTAAGTCTGAAGCATATGAGTTAGAAAAATTAGAAAATACTATGAAAGAGCAACAAAACCCAACAAGAACAGGCATTTCAAGACACGGACCCCTTTTCAAAGTGGAAAACAAGAAGGTAGAAAATCCAGTGTTAGGAAACACTTCTGTGGTAGGCTTACTTGGCGACACATCTATTCTTGATGACCTCTTTAATAGTTATGGGAACAGTCCCACACAGCTGCCAAAGAAAGTTCTTTCAGGGCCCATGGAAAAAGCAAAACAGAGACCAAAAGATTTCTGGGACATCTTGAATGAACAGAATGACGACAGCCTTAGTAAACTCACTGACTTGGCAGTGATAGAGACTCTATGTGAAAAAGTGCCCCTTGCCGCATCCTCCAAAAGGAAAGAAGAGCTGGAAACTTCGCTTTGGAAATCAAATGAGAAATTTTTGTGGAAAAAATTTAGCTTAAGTGATACAGATGAAAACACAACTAGTGCACAAAACTAATGCGTAAACACACAATGAATTACTGTAACCATGAACTTCTGCCATCCATGTTTACAACACTGTATTCCACACTATGTTATCTTGAACACAGCTGTCATGCATTTTTATTAAACTCTTGCTCTAGGGTTTTTTTTAGCCTAAAAGGTTATGATGGATTTGTTTTCCTTAATATCTGATTTGATCTTTTAAAAATATGATTGTATTATAGTATGAACCTCTGTTATGAAATAGAAAAAGTCTAGATTTGTTATCAGGAGACCTTGGACATCTCTCTTACTATGTAATTATGTGCCTGTAGATAAGTCATTTACCTTCATGTGTAGATACTGCCTAATATGAAAGATGAAGGGTTTGAACTCAACATTTGTGTCCTTTCAGCTTAAAAACACCTTTGGTTTACTTTCCCAGATTCCATTTGAAGTCATAGGCCGAGTTATGGTCATCCCCCAAATCAGGTGTGCATTGATGTGTTTCTTTCTTACTAGCATTTAGAAAAGTATTAAGTTAACTGTTTTCCTTTTCCCTCAGTATCATGTACTATTGCTAAATTATTTTAGGTGAGGGTAATAACTAGTAATGAATATATGATGTTGTGTTAAAATAAGTTTATAACTGCTCAAAATCCAAGGGTTAATGTTGTATAACTATACTATATGAGATATGACACCGAAGTAATATAACTACTACCAGTAGCCACAGAACACCAATGCCTCAACTTTTTATACAACAATTAGGATTTAATCAATATAAATTAAGCTTTGTATAGTACTTTTGTATTAAGTATGGCGAAATGAGGAAACATTTTATTTGAAACTATTCTCTTTTGCTGAATTGAATTTATGTGGTTTACAATCAACAGAATGTGCTTATTGTTGAGTTCATTTACGTGGAAACATTCACTCAGTCCCTATGTGTCCTGTGCCAGTGCCTCGAGAGGGATAGGTGAGATACTGCTATGGGTGAAAGATAAGGAACCATATCTGTAAAGAGTCATGTGTGTAGAGCCCCTGGCGTCATGCCTGGCACATGGCAGCAGGGACCTGATCCACATTCAGATGCCCAGTGGTAATTCCCTTAAGTTGAGCTCCTGGAGCTGTGGAAAAATAGAGGAGGAAAAATAGAAAATAGCAGTGAACCAGGAAATGGTGGTACTAAGAGCACCGTAAATTGTTGTTGTGTTGAGCGGGGAGAGCTTCAGAGTACCCAGCCATTGCAGTGGGGAGCCATGGTTCAGAAATGGAAAAAACAAAACAAAACGAAAACAAAGAAACAAAGAAATCTTTTAAGAGACTGAATAACCAAATATGTTTTTCAATGTGATGTGGTTGAGGGCTGTGAAGTATATTTTATGTCATGACCTAGTATATATGTGATGAAATAAAATGTTTATGAAAGAGTATTTACCTATAAGGCATGCAGTTGTACTTTGATCTAGAAAAGATGCATAGGAATTTGCTCTTTTGGCTCTTTTGTATGTGTGGTTTTTAATGCTCTCATAACCCACTGAATTGATTTTACAACCCATTAATGATTGAAAATCACAGCTTGCAAATCATTGTTTTAGATTAATCTTTTTTTTTTTTTCCTACTTGCAGCTGAGTTGTGTTCAGATTTATCAGATGCTGAGTTTCACCACTGAGGTGCTTGCTACAAAATGAATGTGTTGTGTAGTCTGTGGTAGACTTGACATAGAAATGCTGTCAGCCTGCTGTGGGACTAGCTGTTGGGAGGAGGTTGGATAAGCAAGTAGATGCCCCTTCATCTCAGCTTTTATACCACTTTTAATGAAAGTGGACCTTTCATAAAATAAAATGCTTTTACATTTTTTAATATAGGGGTGCCTGGGTGGCTCAGTTGGTTAAGCATCCAACTCTTGGTTTTGGCTCAGGGCATGATCTCACGGTTTCATGAGTTCGACCCCGCATCGGCTCTGTGCTGATGGTGCAGAGCCTGCTTGAGATTCTCTCTCTCTCTCTCTCTCTCTCTCTCTCTCTCTCTCTCTCTCTCCCCCCCCCTCTCCCTCTCCCTCTCTCTTTCTCACTTTCTCTCTCTCTCTCTTTCTGCCCCTGCCCCGCTCACGCTGTCTCTGTTACAAAAATAAACTTCAAAAAAAAAATTTAATATAATGACTTTCAAGTCATAAAATGATATTCACACAATATAATGAAATACAATTAAAGATATTTTTTATAAATAAAAGTCAAAATGGAAGCAAAAATACAGACCTGGAGTTTAAAAATTAGTTTTCAGCAGTTATCAGTGAAATATGTCATTATTTTCATGCAGGCACAGTGTGTCAAGCAGAGTACAGGGTCCGGTATGAAGAGGAGCCAGTCAGAGTTCCAGGAGAGAAACTGTAAGGGTTGACTTTCCCTGCACTGGAACAGTAGGAGGAGTTGGAGAAACCATTGATGAATCTGGCAACAGACACTATGAAGGGTTGACAATAAGAATCCTGCCCAGGGGCACCTGGGTGGTTCAGGCACTTCGGCTTCTGACTCCTGGTTTTGGCTCAGGTCATGATCTCATGGTTTTGTAAGTTCAAGCCCTGATTGGGCTCTGGGCTGCCAGCTCAGAGCCAGCTTGGTATATTCTCTCTCTCCCCCTCTCTCTGCCCCTCCCCTGTTTGTGCTCTCTCCCTCTCTCTCTCCCTCTCTCAAAATAAATAAACTTACCAACAAAAACCCCACATGGACCATATCACTACTAAAAAACCTTCCAACTTCAGGTTTCCAAGATTTTATTTGCCATAGTCTGTTTTGTTTACTTCTTTTTAAAGCACTCTATTGGAAACTGAGGCAAAATACTGAGAGACTTTTGCACTTGAATTCCTTAGGTTTCCCTTAAAGCCCTGAAACCACTTCTCAGTGTAAATTAACATCATCTGCAAGTAGTGTGGCTGCCCCTAAGTGTTCAAGACAATGGAGCCTCACTTTGCAGAGCGGAGTTTGGTGATAAACTTTTCCCCAGTCCACACAAAATGAGAAAGCCAAGGGCAGTATAGTTTAAAAATTCAGTGTGTGCAGTTTTTAAATTCTGAAGTTATCCTTCCTTTATGATATTAAAATTGTCTTCTTTGTATGAAATGATGATAGATCATAATTTTCAGTCTTTTTCATTGTCCTTGATATAAAAGTTGATAACCATATGTCAGTACCCAAAAGTTTTATTCGACATTTACTAGTCTATAAAATCGTTAAGAATAAAATAACTGTCTGCTTCAAAGTTCATGAATAGACCTCCATGGCTACTACCAATGTCATAAATCCAGGTAACAGTAGGTCTAGGACCCACCAAGGATGCCAGTGAATCTATAAGATCCTGTACGATGGATCTGCCTTCAAAGAGCCCAGCATGCAGGGCACCTGTTAAGCCCTCACCTAATTCTCACTGGGTTATCATTGATGTAATCTCATTCCCCAGTTCCATCCCCACCTGCTTTTGCAAAGCATCCTCTACCCAGTGCCTCTGGGAGCCTTAAAGAGAAGACTCATAAGTTCAGAAACACATCTTGTCACTAGTGACATGCATTTGCTCAGGGTGACAGCCTTGTGCACTACCCAACCCTCCCCCCACCCCCCACCCCACACACACACATACACATACTCAGTGCTGGCTTCATGTGGTGTTTATGGCAGGTTGGAAGAACACACTTTTTCTCTGTTAATGGGCAACCACAGGAGGGCTGTCTTGCCTCACAAGGTCTTACAGAGTTTTAAATATAAAAACAGCCCTTTGGGTGTTTTGTCTGCCCTTCAGGGGAAAGACTCAGACTGACCCTCCCTCTCAAGGAAGTCAGAGGCTGTGTGGTTCCCAGCCCAAAGTGGCAAGTCAGAGCCACCTGGAGAGGCTTTTCCATACATAGGTGCCCAAGTGCATCCCCAAGAGATTCTAGTGCAGGAGGTTTAGGGGTCAACACAAGCACCTATTTGGTTTTTTTTTTTAAGTTTCACACTATGATATGATGTCTGAGTCTGTCACTGGGCAGGACTCACCTACCTGACATTCTCAGTGAGCCCCCTCACCCATGGACATACAACAGAGATCATCATGGAGCCACACTGTTCTTTTTCAAGACCCAAAGTTATCGTTGGCATTGTTTTTCAGCTTTCTAATATGTACTTTATTTGCTTTGCTGTAGGTTAACCAATTGCAGTGGTTATATTTATCCCCTGAATTTGAAAATTTAGTCTTAATTATGGGAGTTTGATGCCTTTCTGTCACTGACACAGATAATGCCCAACTGACATTCTTGGTTTTGTACTGCTGTCTCTCATGGTTAAAAATCAAGAATGCCTCTTTCTACAGACATCTTTTCAGTTAACTAAATGGGCCCCTTGTTGAAAGAAATAACTAACTCACTGTATAATGTTTTCACTCATGTAAACAAGGGGGAAAGTATGCATCTCTAAATGTCTTATATGTTTCTAAGAAAATTCTAGTGAGTCATCCTATCAAAATATGAATTAGTCCCCCCCCAATATATCTTTTAACTTTGATTTTATTTTTTTGTAAAGTGATACATGCTTCTGGACTGAAAGACTTCCAAAAGAAGGTTCATAACAGCTAATTCATAATTTCTTTCTTTCCTAAAACTATAAAAGCATTGATAAGAACAAGAAGAGGTTGTAATTTTTCAAAACATAAATGCCAACACATGCTCCTTGAGAACTGATTTCACACGATCAGAGGATGCCCACTGGCCCCATCCTGCCACCCACCAACTTGCCAGCGCCTTCCCTATTCTTCCAATGGTTGACTCTTTCTCTGCAGCCAGCACTCACTGTCCTCTCTCCCCATTGCCAAGGCCTTAAGTAGTCTCCCTTTAGTGCTGCCTGGCAAAGCTCCCCCCCACCCCATCCTTTCAGGTCAGTCCCTGACTCCCAAGTCCACCCCTTCTCCCCAGCATCCCACTCACCAGTGTTGTGGAGCCTCAGTCCCCTGTCCAGCCACTTCATAGCTTCCCCCACTAAATCAGCTTTCCCTGCTCTCCCCCAAAC